ACATATATGCTGAACACCACACATGTATAACTGACCTTGTAGTTGGTAAGAAAGTAACTTAAAGCCACGAACCCAATCGCCATGAGCGCACCGAGTGCGAAGATGTATATAACTCCATCATCCTTCTGATTAATATTCAGTGTCTTCGAAATTGCTGTAGATCCAAACTTGAATAACCTACTAAATGCTCCCCCTACATCCGGCACCTCTACTACTTTATCCATGTCTGTATAAACGAGTACCGAATCTTACTATGTTCAATCACTCAAGCTGATAAGTGTTCAGTTTAAAATCGAGGTTGACTTTAGCGACTCTGGTGAATTTGAAAGGATTGTGACTTTACAATTTACCCTGATGCTTTATAGAATTTTGTTTACCTAAAAATAGTTACAAGATCCCAAGTAGACTATCTCTAGGGCTACATAGGCGAAGCTACACTATTAAACGCTAATTGAACCCAGCTGATACTAACAAAAACCTTTGGAGTGCTTCATAGGCAAGCTGTTGTAAATATTTTTATTTCATACATTCATACTACAGGTTCGTTTTACAAATAGGTCTCTTGCTACCGGTCGTTTACTCATTTATATTGGTTTTTAATATTTGACCTGTCAGCAGTCAGGCTGACCGCCTGACAGGCCGCCTGCTCGGCTGCAGTGCTGCACCCTGGCAGCAATACATATTACCAGGAATTCTCATATACTACCGTATTTAGACGATTGTTAATTTGGCGGTTCATAGTTGTGACCCTATGTATTGTGAGTAAATATGTACAATTTAGGAGGCTATGGTAAATATGTGTGATTTGTGTGGTCTCTTCGTAATAACGTATATATGTACGGTACATGTCTCAAACAGTGGAATCCTATATTAGGACAAGAGAGGCTGCTTTCGAAGTGTAAATATAGGAAGCGGTGAAGTGTATAGGACACTATAAAAGTATATAGGAGGCTATAAGTGTACAGGAGTGAGTACATTTCGTATACGAGAGACTATGAATGTAAATAGGAGACTATGAGTGTACAGGAGAGGTTATAGATTAGTATAGGCGAGACTATGAAAGTGCATAGTGGGCTATATGGACATGATGACTGCAGAACTGTGAAAGCTATTCAGTCAATAGAATCGAGTGTATCTACAACGATATAAACACGTCTAAAATTTATCATACTTGTACAGTATATTTTACGAAACATTGTGAGGATGAATTTAACAAGATGCCTCACTCGTGTTCTCCTCCATGCGATATTTGTAGCTGTAGTGGTCGAGGCAGTAAGTGTGGGCCCATACGGTCCACGAGATTTAGATGTTCCATTTAAACACGCTGCTACTTTACAGGTATCGAGCACACTTAACAAAATAATAGGTTTAACAACTAGTGAACAACAAGATCACACATATACCAATAATTTAATAGGGGATACCCAGCCGATAGAAGGAGCTCGGCAGTATCAAGGACCCACAGACAATGAATTAAATAGATTGTCAGGCGATGAGCACAAAATGGATGCTGTTGGATGTCCGACAACGATTCATACAGCAGAACAATATAAGACTGCGTATCTGCTTGGCTGTGAACGATCCCAAGCACTTTCCGAGGGGCTTTCTGACATAGGTATATATTATGTTTGTAACGTGCTACACACTCCTGTATATTCGTAATGTGAACCAATATCTTTATGGATGAACTTCTATTTTGTTTCATAACAGTCTGGACAGTATTACGCATGTATAAAAATCATGGTAGGTTCCTATGCGGTCCAAGTACACTACATAATTATATACATTCAAACATACACACAAGTATTTATATTTATATATATAAAT